TATTTGTTACACGATCGACATCAAATTTGAAAGTCAGAAAGTTGAAAAATGCGGATTACATCTTATAATTTAGTCTCCGCCTAAGATCCCTCCGTGTATGATCCCCCGCTGTTTTAATTAAGAAAACAGAATTGTACTATACAAAAGTGATCCATAAGATCCCGTTCTGATTCACTCTCACGGTCAACATTGGGCTAAGATGCCGCATTTCAAATCACAATTTACGGAACAAACACTCGGGCGGACACAGCCGATCAACCACGAGTGAATAGTAGTTGCTATCATTGAACTGCCCGTCGCGTCAAAGATCGGCCACTCTCGTGAATGCGATCACATACGTTGTAAAACTCGATGAAACGGTACAATGTTTAGCTCAAGACGAGATCACACAGAGGTGGGAACTGACCGACGCGTTTGTTTTCGCTACACATCACACTCGCATCTGAGCTCTCCACCTAAATTCGCTCTTGGAGGGGTCACATCGAACTGTGTACTCTTCCCTGACCATTGCAGCAACTGTCTGAACTCCCGAATTTGCAAGACAGATTGAATTTCAATTGGTGTTGTAAAAAAAAAAAACGTCACGGTGCGTAACGACAAAGACGGGGGAACTCGGTCAGAGATGGAAAGCTATCAATTTTAGACAAGTTAAGTAAAGGGGATACTGGACAAGCGTAGATCTTGAGACTCACGATAGAATAATAAGTGAAAATGACATTCCTCATAGAACAAAACTTTATCGTCGAAAATCAACAATAGGATGGGCTGCAGTCTGCCATCAAACAACACTATCCTTGGTAGGTATGTAGATTTCAAGAGGCCGCCCATGTGCACCTGTGTCTAACAAATGGAAAGGTGAACGACATGGTTAGTCGTCAGAGAGTTGAACTCCATCTTTCGAAAAATTTCTGCTGACAAAATTTTAATACACGTTCTCGATTTGAAGGCATGCCATTTCGATATACCAAGCCATTTCCGGTTCCCACGCCAGGGAACAGATCAAACGGTGGCTTTGGTTTCTTGAAGATAATGATAATGATAATTCATTCATAGAAAGAGTGGTTCTATGATGAAGCCCATTTTTATTTGAACAGAGACATGAACACAAGAAATGACATTCACTGGGGTTCAGAAAGACCAGACAACGTCGTTGACCGCAACCTGCGCTCACAGAATGCGTGGGTTGCAGTAGGATTAATTGGTCCGAACTGGTTCATGGTTGAAGACTATGGTGTAACAACAGTGCTAGTATATCAATATGTGAAGATTCTTGATTGGTGTTGAAGATCATTGGGAAGATTATGTGGGACCTCAGGAGCGAAAACGACCGTGGTTCAAGCAAGAAGGAGCACACTGTAAGCTCTAGCACTTCTACAGAAGTTGCGGTATACCTTGTGCCTGAGCTTCACACAATCCCAGCCTTAACCCGCTGGACTTCCAACTGTGGTGCAGATGTGTGTCCAGACTTTTCCCAACCATTATAAACTGAGGCACAACGAGGAGCACATTGCTCGACAAATAAAAATCTTCGAGAGCAGCGCCAGAAGGTAGTAAATCCCGTTTCAACGCCGAACAAGGGAGTGTGTCTCTCATGACTGTCGCCACATAAAGCGCATTCTTTGACTGCCCAGAACTTCTGTAATGAATAGTGGGATTCTCCTGTCAGACTAAATTCACAAATGGTTCTCATTTTCCTAAATCATTTTACAGTGCCCTTGGCGGATTTTAAAAATGTGAGCACTTGGTTGGATTTCGTCAGAGTTGGGATACGTGACAAACACACACATGCGCGCATGCGTGCGCACTCACTCACCCACTCTCAGTGTGTGAGTGCGTAGGTGTGTTTGTTTGTTTGTTTGTTTGTTTGTTTGTTGGTGTACGTGTGTGTGTGTCTCTCTCTCTCTCTCTCTCTCTCTCTCTCTCTCTCTCTCTCTGTGTGTGTGTGTGTGTGTGTGTGTGTGTGTGTGTGTGTGTGTGTGTGTGTGCTTTTGTGTGTTGGTGTAATCTCGGAGCATGTTACAGAACAATTGTTCAGATTTGTACGTGACTGGTCAAGGGTAGTAACTAACAAAAAATTACTGAAGGTGGTCATGTTCACCTGTCATTGAATGCTTACTTCGGGGGGAAATGAACATATAACCTTATTAATTCAATTAAAAATATCAGAGAGGGGCCAACGTTTTAAAAATATCGAATTTATTGTTTTAAAATCTATGGTTTTCGAACTTTGACGTAGTCAAATCGGTGGGGGGTTTTCTTTTGCGTTTTTCTAAAAAACTACGTTTTCGCTATAGTGACTATGCGGGGACAGACGTTTTTTAAATACTATCTGAGCTACAAACTTGAAATTTTGGCACACGGGTGCTATATAGTCTGTTTTGTGACCCGATGTGAGTATTTTGCGAAATATTGATTACTTTTTAAAATATTCTCGATTTTGTGTTACTTTTCTCCTTTTTTCGGAAGTCGTCCGGTGATATATAAATATTTTTGTTGTTTTTCTTCATAGGAAAACAATCCTAGCATCGGATCACAGATAATAGGTTTGTGTATTTGTGTGCAAAGTTTGAGGCTTATATTCCAGTATTTTCTGTGGAAAACGTCTGTCCCCGCAACATGGCAAAAAATCCAAGATGGCCGCCTGGGAGACCAACTTTTTAATAAAGCTTTTAAAATTCCGTCCTAATTCTTCTATTAGTCGATAATCAATCTATATCACCTTTAAAAATTGAAAGAGAAAGTCAAACCCCTAGAAGTTTCCTCGCATCATGAAATCTCCTGTTAAAGAACATAATAGTGTTGATAGTGGCGTTAAACCAATACCATTTCACAATTTGTTCACGGTCAGGACTATGTAGATGAGACGGCAATATCTTCCAGCCGTGCTATAGGCCTATGAGAATCAGTCTTTAGAAAGATTCGACGTTTGAGGAAAAAGTAGCGTTGGCTTGTTGAAGAATAATGCCCTTGCCAAGCTACCCAGGTCTCTTTCGGTCAATTGTTTTAGTTGGAACCTTGGCTTTCTTAGATCTAAGAAAACGAAGATTGGAACCCATTTGTCCGTCCCATATTGAACAAACGGCCGCAGTATTATACCTGCTTCACACATTCGCCATATACAGCCATGAGCTTGTGAAGACCTGCAGTAAGGTTCTTTATTTTGCATTTTGTATAATAAACTACGAGAAAGAATGACAAAACCAATCAAAGGAACCCCCCCCCCCCCCCAACCCCCGTTACTCATAAAAACACAAAAGCGGAAGAATTCAAATCAAGAAGGTATGGGGCTCCTTTCATGGGGTCACTGGTGAGGATCTCAAGTTACCTAGCTCTGTACATTATGCATTCATTCTTACATACATACATATACATATTAGGGTCGTGGCATAGAGGTTAAGGTGTTCGCCTCTCATTAAATATGTCCCAGGTTCGAATCCGGATAGCGACGAAATTTTTCTTTCTCTAACATGTTCTCCTTTCACATCGTTTCTTGCTCTCTAACAAAGTTCTGTCGTCTGCTTTCGTCTCCACTTTCTGCCCCCTCACCCTCACCTCCTCTGGGCTCCTGGCTCTTTCTCAGCCTTTCTACTGCTACTCCTTGGCTCCTTCTTACAGCTGTCTTTCAGCCACACCCCTGATCTCATGGTAGGAAAAATCTTGCGTTCTCGGACAAGGGTGAAAAATCTCGGTTGTCCCGAGTGCAAGTTGCGCACGTTAAAGATCCCTTGGTGGTCCAAAATCGATATATGAGTAGGCTTCGGCTGCCACCCCGGCAAAATTCAAAAATTCCTACCAATTGAAAATGTGTATTGTGTTCCGTGCGCTCATACTACACTGTGTACCTTATGGAGTTGCGAGCGCCGTTTAACACTTACCATACCAAATGGGTATATTAACACACTGAACTACGGAGTTACGACTTGTAAGGAGTCCTTTTTTCTCTTCCTCGCTCTTCTTTCTGTGCCCTGCGGAAGTAGAAGAAGAAGAAGAAGAAGAAGACACACACACACAAAACAAAAATTGTTTTAATTGAGGCGTTAATAAACATTTAAGCTCTTGAATATCTTTGTTTTGGTTGTTTTCTCTCACAAAAAACAACCTAAATTGTATTAATGGAGGAGTAAAACATTTGTATTTGTATAATGTGTTGAGCTTACAGCCTCCACGGTTGTAGGTAGGCTCTAATTTTTGACAAGCACTTGAAAGCAATTAATTGTTCCCTAGTAATATCTCATAACTTTGACTCCGCCTTTTTCAGGGGATGACTCATAATGCATGAACCTCTGAACCATTCCACTGGCTAATTCTGAGGGACTGCATAATAATTATTCTTAAGGCCCATATTGATACAATTTAGATCTCTGACGAATCGGGGCCGGTGGCACTGTATGGTCAGATGTGCTGTTGTTAAGCTCTTTGCCGTCGAGCTTTGTGATTTCGATTCCCTTTCTTTAAAGTAAGAATTTCATAGCACTTGCAACGCAATATGGTCATATAAGTGCCGAAGATTAAATGTTGTACAACAGAGTAACAAACGCAAAAAAGATTAGGGTGATATATGTTTGACAGGAGAAAAAAAGGAGCAAACCGCACCAGAGCACCCACCAAGCATTCAGGCTTCTTTGGCCCTTCGGGCTTGGTAGGATAGTGCGTCTTAGTCTCAGCAGACAACAAAGGTAGGTCTACTCGATAAAATACATTAATATTACCCCACGTCGGACCCGAACTTAGATCTACGCCTTCTGTTTGCAAGGCGAAGATATAACTTATGCTCACTTCAGCAATTTTCATCGACTCTGCATGATCTGCCGAATAATGGCGACCGGTTTGATCTTCGTACGTTGTTTTGATTTTGATTTATTGATTTATTTATTATTTTAAAAATTCATTTCTATTTTTTGGTCATTTTAAAAAAAAGTCTCTGGTAACTTGATACAGATTAAGAATAATTATAATGTACAGACCTCGTGTTCACTTACAAACGGAAAATATGAACCTACTTGCAGAAGTTGGCTAACAGCACAACGAAGAATGTGATGATGGTCATCATCCCTGCACTCTTGAAGCTGGATTGGCAACCCATATTGTCCTCCTACATTGTGTTTCATGGAGAAGAGCAAGAAAAAGCATCAAAGAATCTTTTAAAGAGTAAATCTATGACTGAGAGAATGAAGGCTACGATTGATCAGATTTTGTTGTGCTTATGCTGTGTGTGTGTGTGTGTGTGTGTGTGTGTGTGTGTGTGTGTGTGTGTGTGTGTGCGTGCGTGTGCGAGTGTGTGTGTGTGTGTGTGTGTGTGTGTGTGTGTGTGTGTGTGTGTGTGTTTAGTGTTGTATTGTTGGCTTTTTACATCTTTCTTTATTTTGACATTATTATTGTTGTGTTGTAGTTCATGTTTCTAACCCCCCCCCCCCCCCCCCCATTTTTTGCGGGGGTTAGGGGGGGGGGGTGTTACTTGTTTCTTTTTATTTGTGTCTTGCTGCTTTTTTTTAGGAGGAGGTGTGTTTGGAGTTGGGGTGAATAAAAAGTATTAAGTCCAAAGTACTTTGCTGAAACATTGGGCAAAGGTCTCCCTGTAGGGCAAGGAAGTAAAATGTGCCCCGACACAAGAGAGGAGCATACACCACCACTCCGGCAACCCAAAGTATAAAGATCAGGAAGACGGGGAGACCTTAAACTTAACAAGAGCCAAGTGAATAAAAGCGTGTCAAGTTAGGAAATAAAAGAAAGTGGGCCATTTCACAATCGATCTTCAGGAGCCGTGCGGTTAAAAAAAAATGTGTACAGGTCATTCAATAACTTACATTCAGTAGGCTACATGGAATTTCTGTTCGGGTGGGCTGTGTATTTTATGTGCAGGCAATGTCCACTGTATGTCAATGCTGTTTTTAGAACAGATATCTTGTTTCTGCTCCTTATCAAGCCATGCATGTTCTATGATGTGTCGAAGTGCTGGTGCATAGATAGATAGATAGATAGTGTGTGTGTGTGTGTGTGTGTGTGTGTGTGTGTGTGTGTATGTGTGTGTTTGTGTGTGTGTGTGTGTTAGAGAGAGAGAGAGAGAGAGAGAGAGAGAGAGAGAGACAGAGAGACAGAGAGACAGAGAGAGAGAGACAGAGAGAGAGAGAAAGAGCTAGAGATTATATTAGATTATGTTTCAGAACAAAACAATTAGGAGACTGGTTGCTTTGAATACGCGTATTCTAAGGACATAACACAGGCTGTATAAGATATTCAGAGCTATTCCAGCAGAAGAACAGAGTTGCTCAATACAATTTTGTGTGTGTTTTTCTATGGGGTAGTCGAATTCATGTTATGCTTTCTGGACGAGAGCATAACAATAGTCTACGACAGAAAGGTGTAATACAAATGTATGTAATTGCTGTGTTAAGGATTATTGACACAATAATACAAGAAGAATGTAGTTTTCGTATATAGGTTGCAAAAACATGAAGATGCTGTGCTGTAAAGAGGAAGAGAAGAAAGATTTACATATGAAAGATAGTGAGTAGGTAACAGCTAGGCCTACGTCAGCTGAGAGTCAGGGGTGACTACATATTGCATGTTCAAATTCCTTTTTTTTGAGAGACACAGATGTTTATGGCAAGGTGTAAACTAGTAATGTTTGGATGTAGACATATACTGTACAGTGGGAATTGAGACTGGCAAAACTACAGGATGGATGGGCTTGGTGTTGACAGAATGGATGGAATGTCATTTGAATGGCTTAATTTTTATTTTTTTGACATTGGCCCAACAAAACATTGCTACCTCTAACCTCTGGTTCTTAGCCGACGACATAACAATTTTTTTTTTGGAGTACATTCATAACAATGAGACATGCAGTAAGGACAGTTCATCAACTGGAATATGATGGCACAATTTTGAAACAAATTCACACAAAAAGCAACAAGAAAAAGAAAAGAAAGCACTTCGCGGATGACAAACGCCAATGATTAGACAGTCATAAAATAAAACAAATTGAAGAAAATTAATGAACTTACCTCGCACGGTATGTAGATAGGTACAAATCTTTCGGCTAACAGTTCTATAAAAGTTTACTGTCTGAAGAAGGAGAAGCCGGCGAAACCCCTATATATGGTTCGTTTGATACAACACATCTAACCAGCACTTTTCGATGTATAGTGTTACCGTTGGTAGGCGTAGCTTTGCGTAGCAACCCCTACTCGTTGCATTTTCATTTTGACATAGGATAAACAGAAGTAGATGTAGTCAATTTATCAGTTTCTCATAACCTTTCTCATTCCAAATGGCCTAGAAATGCTAAAATGTTATGGCGCAGGTGGGTATAAAAAGCCTATTGATAGATTTGCTTTTTAGCCTGTCAGCGAAGAGAAGGTTTATATTGAATAGCGTGTATAGAGCTGGGAAGAGAATTTACGATCGATTCCAAGAGGTACGTGCACGCTTTCACTACACCCTCTGTACTCTGTGTTTGTGTACAGGTCTCTTGGACTACCAGGAGAGACGTACTCCACAAACAGTAACATAATTTACCTTCACATTCTCAGTTCTCCTTTTAAAGAGCTGCAATAGGCCTAATGTTGTTTCTGAATGCGAGCTTTTCGGTTTATTGTTGCCAGCGGGCCTTGAGTCTTGTCTCGTTTGTGTTTAACATAATCACAGACTACACGTCATGACACATCCATGATCAATTCACTACCCTACTTAGGTGTAACTTCAAAATCAGTTGACCTATACCGGTACGCTTACAATCATTCCAAGGGAGCATAGTAGTAGGTACCGGTTTAATTGAAAGTCTACCGCTGGAGCGGTCTGACAACTGGTTGAGGTGAGGGCAGGGTAGTTTTAAAATAAAAGTTTTACGGCGGTCGCAACTGCATAAGGTCATACATTGGTTTATATACAAGCTTAATGGGACTTGTGACAAGGATCAGTTTACATTTTCGCTTGCGTTTTTACAGGCTTGGGACTGTCGTTTGCCTGATTGAAAATGTTTTGGTGGTTGCATTTTGCCCCCCCCCCCCCATTTATCGAAAAATGGTCCGGTACCCGGTCTCTCTGCTTGGCGTACTGATCCAAAGGACACCACAACATGAAGCAGTCCACTTTCTCACCCAGCCACCCACACCCCACAACTGCAGCGTCACCGTTTGAATTGAAAATAAAAACCTAAACTTCTTTGATATTGTTTTTTTGCCTTTTCTTTCTTTTTTTCTCTTTAAAAAAAAAAATGCAGCATAATTTATTAATTTGAAATTTATGACACCATTTTCAACTATCCTGCGCGGCTGAAAGCACAAACTATATATATTATTACCAATCTAGGCTAATAATATATTTCACTTGGAATACATCATTCAACTTTTTACAAGGTCTCTTTCCCCTTGATTTGTTGTCTATCAAAGCGCTACTCTCTCTCTCTTTCTCTCTCTCTCTCTCTCTCTCTCTCTCTCTCTCTCTCTCTCTCTCTCTCTCGCTCTCGCTCTCGCTCTCGCCCTGCTAGATCTCAGGAGTTGTTGACTGCTATAATTCTTCAATAACCTGCCTTGCAACTTATTTACGTTACGGTAGAGTGCCTTGTCTTCACGCAGCCATATTCCAATTTCGAAGATACTACAAAAGTATTAATTCTGAACTTTGCCCGGGTGGCAGCCGAAGCCTACTACCTATTGATTTTAGGACCACCAATGGGTTTTTAACGTGCGCAACTCGCTCACCGGACCTCCTAGATTTTTCACACCCTTATCTTCGAAGGCTATAGGTGTTCGATCGCTCCTACTCTAAGATCAGTGTTGTGGCTGAAAGACAGTAGCGAGATTAGGAGCCACGAAAAGCAGTAGGCCTATACGTAGTAGTAATATAGATCGAGTCAGGAGTAAAGAAAGCCTGAGGTGGGCTGGGCGGGGGGTTATGGTGGGGAAAGAAAGTGGAGATAAAAGCAGGTGACATAGCATGTCTAAGAACAGAAAATAGGTGAAAGGAGAACATTTTAGAGGTGAACATTTTCCCGACGCTCTAAAGTTTCGAACCCGGAACCTATTGAATACATGAGAGACGAACACCGTAGTCTAACCATGAGCACTCGCCACCTCTCGTTTAGGTATTAAATTGTCTTATTAGGCGTAGCAGCCCATGGCGTCTGGTACCTTAGAATAACATTATGCAGCAGCCAGGGCTCATGTCCAAGGCGCCAAGGGGAAAATACGTGTGTAGATCTAGGCCTTTGGGATGAAAAAACCGATGCTCTGATTCTTCGACTTTTCAACCGCCTATAAAATAAACACTACCATTAACGTGAAAAATGTTTTCAAATGTAACATACATGTAAATAATAGGCCTAATAAACATTTGAGACCACCCCCATTTTTTTAAAAAGGCTGCTCTTATTGGCCCTCATGGGCAAATAAGCTAGGGCTTATTGGCCCACGTGGGCCGTTTAATGCGTTGTTTTTTCAATGTATTTCATACATGGTTTGTTCTCTTTTATTTTTTCTCACTTTATCCCTTCCTGTTAATGTTTTCCTGAGGCATTCCATCTCGCACACATTTCTACAGATTTGGTTGTTTGTCAGCGTGTTCCTGTAGTTCAGTGTTATTGTTAAGCAGTAGACTTTGATCGTCTGCGAACAGTATTTCATTTAGAATTTAGGTTCTCCGGATGTGGGCTTGCTTCTTTCGCCAAACAATAGATTACGGTATAATTGAGTTATTTCTTTGTTTATTCTATGTATAATATACTGTGTTGGATAACAAGATAAAGATGTGTAAACGAAACACAGGGGAGATAGCTCGCAATTTTGTGGGCAAATAATAAAAAATGTTCTAGGGGAAATTTTATATGCCCCTATGGGCCAATAAGCACTCCGTTAAAAAAAATTCTTAATGTAGCTCATGCCCACTCTAGATCTAGATTCTAGATCTAATCCTAGCAGCCCCTGAATAATTTGAGTTTGAGACCCCTGTATTCTGCGTTTTGTTACACCCCCCCCCAACCCCCCCCCAAAAAAAAACAACAACAACAAACAAACAAAAAAAACAACAAGCAAAACAAACAAACAACAACAAACAAACAGACAAACAAAAAACAAAAAAACAAAAACAACAACACCCCCCAAAACAAAACAAAACAAAAAAAACCCAAAAAAAACCCCCCAACAACCCAACTAATCTAGAATTATGGCCTTGCCAAGCCTATAGAATAATTTTATCTTTGACCCTCTTCAACAGTCATCAACCAGAACTCGGGAGCCAATTCTCGAGGTTTATTTTTTATTGGAGTAATTTCCCTTCTTGTCATTTGTGACGACCAACTTCTGATCAACACAAGTAACCGTCCAACACACAACTTCACAACACGTCGAAAGCGAAAGCATCAACATAGATTTTCTCTAGGCCTACAGTAAAACATACATTGTCTTGAACTTTCAACCACCTTTGATGACTCGGTGTCTAGATCTAGAATCTAGTATCTAGACTAGAATCTACATCTATACTCGGTATTTTCTCCATCATGCAGAAAAGCTGAGTTCTCCAGTTTTAGCTGAAATCATGTCTGGAAGGTATGAGATTGATGAATGCGGCAACGCCGTGTTTGAACCTTTCGATTCTCTGGCTGCCGTTTTGTCTTGGTCGTCGAGCCAAGAGTCAAAAAGCAGCTGTAGATCTTCCCCAGTCAAGTTCCGTTCTCAACTTCGTAAAAGAACCGTGAAAGTTCAGTCAATGAAGGTTACTGAAAAAGGCGGTCAGTCAACAGAGAAGCCTGCATCGTCAAATCTTGAGGCCCAAGTTCTTGTGTGTCATGATATGTATGGAGGATACTTGAATGACAGGTAGACCTAATAGGTAGATCAAGATCTAGATGTCTAGAATCTAGATCTAGATCAATATAGATATCTAAAAATGTGAAAATGTTTTGGATTGTTTTTAGGCAGGCTCTATTTCTCAGAACACTCAGTAAAATATAAACTAGATATCTAGATCTAAATCTAGATACTAGATCTAGTCTAGATTAGATCTAGATCTAGATCTAGATCTAGATCTAGATCTAGATCTAGAACTCTATTTCTCTGAACAGTTACGTTCTCGAGATTTGTTGACAATTTGCGAATGGAGTGGCCTGTGCCCTCTCACGCGCGCGTGGTGTGTATGTGTGTCGAGTAAGTGTGTGTGTTCGTGTGTGAGTGAGTGCGCATGCGTGTGTGTTTGTACATCATGAATTAGGTGTGAATGAGGCGTGGGGCTGGGGGGGAGGCGTGGAGGGATTTTATATTTGTTTATATAAATATGAAGGATTTTAGTGGGTGCTTTAGGCGGGGTGACTTCTCGCAGTACCTTTTGAAGTCATTTTCAAATGAAGTATATAGTCCGGGAACGTTGCCCCAACCACAACTGAAGTATCTGAATATTCAGACATAAAAAAATCTCTGGATCTAGCTCTAGAAATTGAATTCGATGCAAAAAAAATGCTTCTTCCCAGTCTTTGCAGAATGGTAGAATGAAAGATATTTAAGCTCGCAAATTATAACCCCAAAAAATCACAAGAACGAAAACCGTTAGGAGAAATAGAGATCAAGTATTTCCCCGAGTGTTTAGTCACTTCATTGTTTTTATGTCAGTTAATATAATGACGTTATGATTAGATGAAAACTGATGTAGAAATACTGCTTGATCTATGTTCTTGACTTGGAGGAGTTGACGAGACAAATCGTTAATTTAGAGAGAACAAGCAAGTGGCTATTCTCTAGCGTCGCGCCGGTCAATAGGTCAATGGCTATTCTGCGGCGTCATGTATAGTTGCACATGTCACTTCTCCGGATAGCTTTCCATCTCCCCTGTCGGCATGTTTTATGGCCTTACATAAATACTCGTCAGGGTCGGCATTTCTTCAGAATGTGATTCACCAGTGACCATCATAGGTGGACACGCAGCCTCTACTCGATGAAAGCCCCAGTGACGGAAGAAGGAGGAATTTCTGTGTCAGAGGTGACAGCACCAGAGGCGCCAACAAATCTCAGTCACAACCAGAAGTACAAGCAGGCGCATATATGGCACTGAACTCAGTTGCAAAAATAATGGCCGTAACGAGCCGAAAGGGTAGATGAAAAGCCGTGGAGAAGTGACATGTACATTGCAACTATACGCAGAGCTGGTTGTAACGGAGTACAAGTACTCCGGTACTTGTACAACTTACGTTACAATTTTCGGTACTTTTACTGTACTCCAGTACATTTTTTAAACCAGTACTTTTACTGTACTCCGATACTTTTTATAAAAGTACTTTTAAAGTACATTTTGAGTGCTTTTGAAGCTTTTAAATGAAATGGTAAGTGCCGGCATTTCTGATCATAATTTACGGAACAAACACCCGGGCGGGCACAGCCGATCAATCAAGAGTTAAAAGTTGAGATCAGAGAACGGCCCGTCGCGTCAAAGATCAGCCACTATCGTGAATGTGATCACAAGCGTTGTTAAACTCCATGAAACGGTACAGAGTTTTCTCCAGACGAGATCACACCGAGGTGTGAACTGACCGATGCGTTTCTTTTCTCCAAACATCGCACTCGCATCTGAGCTCACCACCTAAACTTACATCACTCACAGGGTGGGTAGGGCCAACACGTTCGCTCCAGGCGAGATCACACCAAACTGTGAACTCTTTCCTGATCATTGAAAGCAGTTTTTCTCTATTCCCGAATTTGCGAGACAGCCTGAATTTTAATTGGTGTGACCACAACGTAATGATGCGTAACGACAAAGTAAAGGCGATTTTGGGGGGGGGGGGGGGGGGACCTCAATTAGAGATGGAAAGCTAAAATTGTTGGACAGGTGAAGGGGAGGGGCAACTGGATAAACGTAGATAAAGACCTCAAGACTCACGATAGGCTAATGAGTGTGTATATTATATTATTTATGGCATGCCTCATGCCACTGTGGTTGGTCATCAAGGTTGACCACTATTTGCTCGTCATATGTCATAAATCCACCCAGGGGTCACGTCAGTTCATGGGTCACTGTAGATTCTTCCTTGGCTTCGTCGGCTGAGATCCCATATTTTTCTTGTTTCCGAGCACTGGGATCTTAGGCGGAGACTACTGTAGTAGAGAATCTTTGGTTATACATGTACTAAACTCTAGGAAACTATTGTATTTTGGTTTGCCGTGGGCGCCGTGGACTACACAGTGTTACCAAAATCTGTCTTACTACTATAATCAATTGAAACTGAAACTGTGTTCTCAATGTAAGTAACAATTTTTGAGGCTACTTAAATTTTTTAAAACTTTTTTTTTTGGGGTGGTTTTTTGCTTAAGGCTACATTGATTCCTTGAAGATTTGTTAATGAAGAATTCAATGCACTTTTCCATAAATTTCTATGCTGGCCATTTTCATCAATTTTATGTTTTCTTAAGAGCAACTTTGTATCTACATTTTCCAATTTGGATACTTTTTCTGTAGAACTTTCCGACCTTTTGAACTGACTTAGATTTGATCACATTGTCTTGCTCAAACATTTTCTATTCATAATATCACTTACCCACTAGTTGCGTTTGTTTGTTTGGGGTTTTCTTTTTTCAATTTCACGGACCATTTCCACCTTCGTTCTGTGCGAACATAGTATATTATTCAAATGTTTTGTATACTGTTTACATTTTTAGTAATAAATAGCCTAATTTGTCAAGTATACTGGATATGTTATTCAATATGATGTTTTGCATAAGCGCTGAAGTGTTTTAGCATATAGCAGAAAGTACTCAAAATGTACTCATAAGTACTTTTTTAAAAAGTACTTGTACTCAAGTACATTTTACAGGAAAGTACTTTTACTGTACTTAAGTACATTTTTTAGATTGTACTTAAATTTGTACTTAAGTACTTTTTAAAAAGTACTTTAACAGCTCTGACTATACGTGACGCCGGAGAATAGTGATCGATCTATTGATTGGCACGACGCCGTACAATAGCCATTTGCAATTTAGAATGTTCTAGCTTTTCAGATTATCCGTTCGCCTCTCACTTCACTTTGCACAGGTTTTGTTCTCGGCTTTGTCTATTGCTTCCCCTTTCCTCTTTTTATTTCTCTTGATTGTTATCTTTTGTCAATAACCATCATGCTCACATACCGTTTTTTTGTTTGTAACTCTGTGCCCCCACCCCTCTCCCTCTTTTTTCACTCTGCTCCCTCTCCATCTACCCCTCCCCTTCTCTCTCTCCCTCTCTCTCTTTCTCTCTCTCTCTCTCTCTCTCTCTCTCTCTCTCTCTCTCTCTCTCTCTCTGTCTCTCCCTTCATCCTCTCTCCTTTCATCTCCTTTCTCTTTTCGTCATCTTTGTCTTCATCTTCTGTTTCGTTTTATCTTTCTTTCTTTCTATCTTTTTTCTTTCTTTCAAGTCTTTTATGAGCCTATGTGTGTCTTCATGGCTAAATTCATTGGGATTCACAATGGGTTTGGGCTGGGTGGAAGGAAAACAAACAGCCTGTACAGGATTTTTATTTGAATCAGAGCTTCATTCAGGGACAGAGTTTTAAAGGTATCACCATTTTGCAAAATAAAGAAAGTTTCTAGTGTTGATCAAAGATCAGTTCGCATTGGGTGATTGGTCAAGAGAGTTAGTCGCAGGTAAGGAGTACAGTACCGTATGTAAAGAACATTTTCTCCTTGCTCCTTTTCCGATAGGGCATAGTTTACTAAGGGCATAGTTTACTATCGTTCAGTTAGTTATGACTGCTCTTGTAACGTTTTATAAGCTCTAAAAGCGCTGTATTGTGACAAGCTGACATAACCTTTTCATTGGTCTGCATCATGAAAGTGTTTGACATTTCTATCCCATACAGATTGCGGGATTTCTCATAATTGATGAAGATGTTACATGTGGTTTGTTTGTTTGTTTTGGTAAGTGTTTTTACGGCGCTCGCAACTGCATAAGGTCATGTATATGAGCATGCGGGACACACCTAATATTTTCAGTTGGTAGGAAATTTTGAATTTTGCCTGGGTAGCGGCCGAAGCCTACTTTTATCGATTTTAGACCACCAAGGGATCTTTAACGTGCGCAACTTGCACACGGACCCTCTGAGATTTTTCGCCCTTGTCCGAGAAGGCTAGGTGTAGATCTTTCTTACCAGAAGATCAGGGGTGTGGCAGAAAGACAGCAGTTAGGAGGAGCCAAGGAGTGGCAGTAGAAAGGCTGCAGAAAGAGTCAGGAGCCCAAAGGAGGTGAGGGGGTGGGGGCAGAAAGTGGAAACGAAAGCAGACAACAGAACATTGCTGGAGAGCAGGAAAGGAGGTGAAAGGAGACAATTTTAGAGAAGAAAATTTTTGGGTCGCTACCCGGATTCGAACCCGGGACCTTTTGAATGAGAGGCCAACACCTTAACCTCTAGGCCAGGAGAGCCCCCGACATGTGGTTTCAATGAACTGTACAAAGAGATACAAATGTTACCATACCAAAACTATATTAATAAACCTAGTCAACAAAAGTTAAGGAACACACTGTAAAAACAGTGATATATTTGCATGCATTCTTTCGAGGTTTTACTTTTACTAGTTAAACTAGATATTGGTGAAATGTTACTCTCTGACTAATGGGCTTGTACACACCAGGGTTTGAAATGCATGTGACTCCTGTGCGCTGAGCTGGGGAGGGGGCAAAAAGGCCCAATATTTTCAAATTGTCGAATTTTATTCTCTCGCTCTAACAGTCAGGAAAAATGATGAACGCTCAAAAATCAGTTTTCACGTGCAAGATTCATGTCTCGTGAGTGAGTTGCACACACTCATTTGCCATGTGGATACACCATTCTGCTGCTGTAGGGCTAAGCGTAGACATGCCTCCTCGACAGAAATTGTCTGATGTAAATAGAGGACGAGCCATTGCTTGGGTACAAGATGGTGTTTCACTCCGACAAGTTGCTACACGTCTTCAAGTGTCCGTTTCTGTCATTTCACGGCTGATTCAGCGTGTCAACGCCACTGGTAGTGCCCAAGAGCGACCCAGATCAGGTCGACCTAGAGCCACTAATGCAAGGGAAGACCGATTCATTCATAGACAGGCTCTGCAGTCGAGATCCGCTCCTGCAAATCGCATCCGGACACGGCTGAGAGCAGCAACTCGTCTTAACGTTAGCTGTCAGACCGTACGAAGCTGTCAGACCGTACGAAGACGTCTTCATGAGTTTGGACTTAATGCACGTCGACCAGCAGTCCGTCAGCGTCTTACCCCAGCACACAAGGCTGCTCGTCTTGCCTTTTGCCGACGCCATGTAGGATGGACACGTCAACAGTGGACAAACGTTCTCTTCAGCGACGAGTCCCGGTTCTCTTTGCATCACAATGACGGTCGTATCAGGGTTTGGAGGCGACCCGGAGAGCGGCTCCTCGATGCAGCCGTCAGAGAAGTGGTGCCTTTTGGTGGTGGTTCCGTGATGGTATGGGGTGCATTCAGTCTGAACCACAGAACACCTCTGTACCTTGTGCAAGGGAATCTCACTGCAATACGTTACCGAGATGAGATACTCCGCCCATTAGCACTACCTACTCTGCAGCAGATGGGGCCACACGCAGTGTACCAGGATGACAACGCCCGACCTCATAGAGCGTTGCTTGTCCAAAACTTCATGCAGCAGGCTGGCATCAACCAAATGGACTGGCCGGCCTGCAGTCCGGACTTGAATCCCATAGAAAACCTCTGGGATGAGCTGCAACGTCGAGTCAGAGACAACCACCCCCCTCCAGGAGACGCGCAGCAACTGTTTCAGATGCTGCAGGCAGAGTGGCAGGGGATGCCTCGGAGAGTGTTCACCAACCTCATGAACTCGATGAGGAACCGGTGTACTAAGTGCCAGGACAATCGTGGGGGGCATACTCATTATTGAAATCATCGGAACTGTTTTGTTTTTGTTGTAGTCAGAAGTTAACATAACTTCGAAACCACTTGACAATTTTGGGATTTAGGATTTTAACCCCTACCAAACTCAATGAACTTTTCAAGCAAGTTAAAATGGAATAACTTAATTTTCTTTTATGTTATTTGTTATACACATGTTTATTAAACTGCGTACCAGATTTCATTTCGTGTTGAAGTTTGCTTTCGAAGTAATACACTTTTTCCCAAATGTTCCTTAACTTTTGTTGACTAGTTTATGTCGTTGGTTTTGTTATACTAAGCTCATTTCTTGAGCTTCAGTTTTTTAGATTATTGTACAATTTTTACACTTTCATTGCCATGCAACATATAAAATAAAGGGATGACATTAGTATCAACAAGTGAAAACAAAATGTCTTTGTGTCAACACACAGTAGAATCAGGCATGTGGAGTTAGTGGAGTTATTGGTATCATCTGAAAGCTGATTTGTTTGTCTTGTTTTCAATGAAATAAATATCCATCTAGGTCTATCTTAAATAGAAGTCAAGATATTTGCGATTGAAGGAAGTGAGGTCGCCTTGTTATAGTCGTGAAATTAGCGAGAAAATGGCCGCCAAAGTCTGGTGACTCCAATAGCTAAAGAGTCCTTGAAACAGGAAAATGACTTATTTTGTGCGTTTAATCAATGTTTTTCAGTAAAATTCACATTGAAATGTGTTTTTATATGGACATAAAAGTGGTTACACCAAAACAAAAACAAAAAAAAAACAAAAAAAATGTCCATATTGGCGGAAAAATGTCTGTTTCTCTGATTTACGTATTTTAGACGAGCTCTTGATTTCACCACACTGCCTCACATTTGCTTGATTGTTTTTAGTTTAGTTTTAGTAGAGGTTTTATGGCGCTCATAACTGCATAAGGTCATATAAGCGCCAGAAGATTAGAGGTGTTACAAGAGAGTAACAAACATAAAAAAGAAGAGGGGGAGATAAGGATGATAAATTTTTCATTGGAAAGAAGAAGCAAACCACACCAGAGCACCTGCCAACCACCCACTTTATTTTTAAAATCAAATCTTCTCTGTCAAACCTGCTGAGGTATGGCCCCACTTTCAATGAATTCCCTGTGCCAAACAATCCTCATGTTCTCATTTCAGGTACACTTTTGGTGCTAAGGGTGCTCCATCCTACAGATTCTATCACTGGCATCTCATTGATACCTTTGTATACTTCAGTCATCGGTTTATTACAGTTCCACCTCTTGGATGGATCTGTGCTGCTCATAAAGAGGGTGTTACGGTTTTAGGTATATTGTAGTACTTTCAGTAAATCGTCATATTATAATAATTAATAACTGCATCTAATATCAGAGGTTAAGGGAAACTATAGGCCTTGCTGTGTTCTCAGAACACAAATCCAGGGAGCACGTCATGGTCCTCTTATTATTTTACAATGAAGAAAAAATACAAAAGATAAAGATACTGCCTTTTGTGTATGAAAATGTAAAAGGCACAGTTGCATCACAGGAAAAGTTTTTACAAGAATTTTGTACATGAATACTGACAATGTATTTGGTTTTTAAATGTCAATAACCAAATTGTGTTTGAATTCCTCTTTCCAAAGTAAATCGTTGTTTGTGACAGAGATTGGTGTCATAATGTTATTTATCTTGCTTGTGCCCTGGTCTCATAAACAGGAGACAAGATGTCGAAGTGGGAGTAACTCCAATTGGTGATGATGGCTTGTGTTCTCCTGAACTGTGCTGGGTGTCTGTTATATTTAAAGCACAGTTGATGTTGCTATTTCTCAGTATGTGTTTGTCAAGGTGGCACATTTTGTGTTGAGATAGAAATTTTCTCATTTCATTATATAAATATGAGCGCTTAAGAGAAGGGAAGTTGTGCATTTTTTAATTTTCTGCAGTGCTGCCCATCGTTACATATTTGGCGGAATTGTCTCGATTTTTTTTCAATTCTCCAAAAATAGGGTCGTAATTCCCTTGATTCTGATTTAAAAGAATTTATTTGCCAACTGATACCCACACTCATGGCAATTAAAGAAGAAAAACAATCAGACTCTGGCAGTGCTTGTCACTATAATGTCATGTGGGCAACTTAAGCACCCTTTGTGCACTTTGTGCACTGAACCCTTGTAATCATTCAATGCCGCAATACGGTAGCTTACCAAATTTTCTGTTATCCATCGAGGACCTGAATTTTTTAAAAACCAGGGCAAAGTATATTGGTGCAGGAGTGCAGGAGTTGAAATGTTGTTGTTCTTAACTCACAAGTCATTACTTTTCTACGACTGTTTCATGAAGTCATATTTCAATGAAATGAAAAGTATACTGTTCAGGTCTTCTAGTAAAGTTTTAATGCTAATTAACTTTCAGATAGTTTATCGAACTCAAACACTAACTCCATATTGTATTTTACCAATAATAGTTGAAACTGGGTGTTTATTTTATTCTGTTTTCAGGTACTGTGATCACAGAATGGGATGATGGCGCAAAGATTTGTCAAGAATTGCTCAGCTCCAAGTCTTCTATAGACAAGTTCACCACAAAGCTTGCTGAAATTGCTGATTTTTACAACTTTGATGGTTGGCTCATTAACATTGAGAATCCAATACAGGTACAGAATCAGGAGCTTTTTAACTTGAACATGATTTTCATAAATATTTATAACAATTTTGTCAGCAGTAAGTGTAGCTTTAAAACTTTTATGTTCTTTTTGGATTTCGTGTGTCATCATCATCCGTGCCTTTCTCACCCTGGGTCTGGGTATAGGCCACGAACAAACACTTTCCACCTTTCCCTATCCTGGGCTAGGCTCTTGATGTTATTCCATGTCTTCCCACTTTTCTGTATTTCGATTTCTGTAACTCTTCTCCAGGTTCCACGTGGTCTTCCCCTTGATCTTTTAGTCTTGGGTACTAACGTCTGCACGAGAAATAAAGGCTATGACATCTTTTTTTGTCTTTCTTGACTTATCGAATGGGCCTTTTTGTGTCTGATACCAGCAATATATTTTCTTAACAGTGAATAAGAACTGATCAACATGAATTTTTTTCTTGGATGTAATTAATATGAATGTGAAGGAAGTGGGTGTTGTGCTTTCTTCCTGCAGCCTGATCAGGTCAGTGCCCTGCAAAGTTTTGTGTCTCAGCTGACAGAGAAATGCCATGCTGTTCTGGAGTCCCCAAAAGTGCTGTGGTATGACAGCGTTATCAACACGGGCGAGTTGATTTGGCAGGATGAGCTGAATCCTAAAAATGAGTGAGTTGGTTCTAACTGGACTGGATGTTACTTTTTATATTCTGTGTCTAAGAGTATTTGGCTTTTAACATTCTTTATGATGATTAAAAGTATAAGGAACAGGAGCTACGAGTACTCGGATGTAGAAATTGTTGGTTGAGGGATGTTTGTTTGAATAGGGTAACTTCACATGGGAAAGTAAATGTGAATGCCACACTTCTGCATATTCCAAAGGGATGAATATTGAATCTCTATAAGGTATAAATATTTGTTTTCCCCTTTATCTTACCAAGGAACTGCTAATTAATCGTGTTATAGAAATGTTATTGCTTATTTTTCCCCATACCTACCCTGAAAAAGTATTCGATGGAGTGTATTCATTTTTTAAGAAAATATGAGGAAAATTCTTGGGGTTTGCTTTTCTTTTATTTTGTTTGCTGTCTGGAAATATGTAACAGATTTCAGCAGAGCATGAAAATATAATTATTCTTGTGGAGTCAAATTATAAAAATATCATATGAGAAAGTTTGTCATTTTGCAAGATTTGCAAGCTTTAGTCTAAAACTGTGTACCAGCGGACACTTGACATTTATGAAATGCAGGCACCTGTGTTTAAGTCCAAGGAATCTGCTGAAATAGCTAGGGTTCAACATTTTTGTGCCTTTATTTTCCTCTTGAGGAAAAAAAGGGATCTGTGTGCAAATAGTTACAAAATAGAGTATTACTGATTTGATGAAGAAATATAGTTTACTGAGGTGGCCTTGTATAATTTTTTTTTGAGTTTGAGTTATCATTTATGTTTGATTCGACAGAATGTTCTTTGATGTGTGTGATGGCATCTTTTTGAATTATTTGATGACGGAAGAGAAGTTGCAGAGATCAAAAAGTTTGGCCTGCAAAAAAGGCCGCCAATTTGATGTTTATGCAGGCATCGATGTGTTTGGGAGAGGGACCCCTTGTGGAGGAGGATTTAATTGTCAAGAGGTAGTCAGTTGTTTTTTATGTGTTTGGCTGTCTCCATGCATGAGGTACAACTGTAACTTGTGGCTCATTATTATGAAAGTATAAACTTTTGAAGTGCTGGGGAGTTTATTGGAGCTTCATATTTCAATTACTTTTACTTTTACCCCTTCATTTTCTTGTAACAGGAAAAGGAGGAGTTTACTTTCTGAATCATGTCAAAATTACTGTGATAAGCTTTGTTCTCCCACTTTATAGCTCTCTCCCTCTATCTCTCCCCCCCCCCAA